GAGGGAGCGTGTCTCAGTTCTCCACTGCTGCTGTGACAGATGTGTCACAAGGGAGCGTGTCTCAGTTCTCCACTGCTTCTGTGAAAGAAGTGTCACAAGGGAGCGTGTCTCAGTTCTCCACTGCTGCTGTAATGTGTGTCACAAGGGAGCGTGTCGCAGTTATCCACTGCTGCTGTGACAGTTGTGTCACGAGGGAGCGTGTCTCAGTTCTCCACTGCTGCTGTGACAGATGTGTCACGAGGGAGCGTGTCTCAGTTTTCCACTGCTGCTGTAACGTGTGTCACAAGGGAGTGTGTCACAGTCATCCAATGCTGTTATAACAGAAGCAGGGTAGGTGATCTGTCTTGGTTTACCTAGTGCTGCTGTAACAAATACCACAAGTGCATGATGACCTGGTTGGGTAGTGCTCTGTTGCAGACCAAGGGTAAAGTATATTAATAAGTATATTAATAACGAGGCAGAACACCAAGAATGTATAAGTAAAAAGAGGTAAAGCAGGAGGTGAACAGTTCTTGAACAACCTGGATTCCAGCTTCCCTGTGCCTTTATTGAAAGTTGCCAGGGAGCAAATCACCAAGAAAATTCAGTGCAAATGAAGCCAAGCTCTTCCTATTGAAAACCTTCTGATTGACTCAGGAGGGAGGGGTCAGCAAATGCAAGAATCCTGTCAACACTAAAGGTTTGCCCTAGTGCCTATCCCTGTGTACATTTAAGAATTGCCTTAGTGCGTCAGGGTGAATTCCAGCTTGTAGCCACGCCTCCCTCATATCCTGAAGTAGCATTTGGTTTATTATAAATATTTAGCATGAAATTTGGCTTCCCACTATGCTCCTATATTGGAAACACCATACGTTTAATAAACAGAAATTATTCTCCCGCAGTTTAGGAAGCGGCAAGTAAAAATTCAGGGTGCCAGCCCTAGGGCCAGGCTCTCTCTCTGTCTTCTGGTTCAGGGAGGTTCTCAGTGCAGGGGCCCCAAGTCTAAAGGACGCACTCGGCTCCTAGCTCCTTGTTCCCCCTGGTCCGGAGGGTTAGATATTAAAAAAGAGCGCGAGCGCACCAGGGAGAGAAATAAAGAAAGAAATTGGTCCCAAGAAACGGACAGGCCTTTATTGCATGATCTGAGAGAGACGCCACGTGACCTGGCCACATGGCACGCAGGCATTTTGGAGGACTTCCTTTTTATAGGGATCCTGGGGAGGACTAAGATAGTACTTCTCTGAATTTGGTGTGTTAGTTAAGTTAGGTTTTAGCGATTTTTAATCAAGCTCAGACTCTTAACATGGTTCCATTGTCTGGTCTGGTCTTTGATGTGACCAGCTCAGGTGTTGTCAAGCTTCTCAGGAAGTGATCAAGCTTGGGGGGAGGGGGCAGCTGCCATGTTCTTCCTGCACTGAGAGGCCTGTCTGTACTTCGCTCTCCATTGAGCCCTTTGTGGGATAAATGGTGATTCAGGACACACCCCGGAGAGGCTCCCGATGTCTGATCAGGGCTGACCTGAGTCAAGGTCTCCTCTGAGTGCATCACGGGGGAGAATGCCATCATTACGTAGCCAGGTGACATCATTGTATCGGTGCCAAACCACTGAGAATCAGGGGGACACATGTTGACAGGATGAATTCAGGCCGGGCTGGGTGGGGCGTGTAAGCTCTTGTCCTCCGTCGAAGGCGGGACTCAAGGGGCCTGGCCTGTAACCTGCCAACCGTGTGGCTTCTCCCCACGTCCACAGGTGATGCTGGTGGGCTACGGCTTTACCTTCCGCTACTCTCCAGGTGGCAAGCACGTGGCTTACATGGAAGGCAGCAGGACCCCGCACGAGGGGGACCTCGAGTTCATCAGCCTCGACCTGCACAAGGGATGCGGTAAGAGCCGGAGGCGGGATCGAGGTCAGGACGTGTGACAGGCTCCTGGCGAGGACTGGGCAGTAGTCAGCCATGCTCCTCGGGAAGGCCGGGGGGCCAGTCATGTTCCTCCAGGACCCTGGAGTCGCCCATGCCCCCCGTTCAGGATCATACAGTCACGCTCTCTGCAGAACACCCTCCAGGCAGCCCTCCCCTACTTCCAAGAACATGCAGACCTGCTTCTCACTGCGCCCCGTGGAAACACTGCCACTGCTTTCATAGCCTCTGTCTGCTTGAGGTCGAGGAGGCCCTGAGAACACTGTAGACAGTTAAACGTCAGGTTCCTCACACTGAAAGGGTCAGCGGTTCAAACCCACCAACCATTCCTTGAAGAGTAAGAATGTCTGTTCCCTTAAACATGTCTGGTCTCCCGGAGCCTGTCTGGTGGTTCTGCTCTGCTCTGTAGGGTTGGTCACAGGCAGCTGCAGTCGGTTCGACACCAGTGGGTCGGGTTTGCTGTTAAGGGGGATCAGGATGACCTGGTTGAGGTGGAGCACATGGAGGGCAGGGAGTCCACGTTGCAGGGAGTCCACGTTGCAGGGAGTCCACGTTGCAGGGAGTCCACGTTGCAGGGAGTCCACGTTGCAGGGAGTCCACGTTGCAGGGAGTTCACGTTGCCGGGGAGTCCACGTTGCAGGGAGTCCACGTTGCAGGGAGTTCACGTTGCAGGGAGTCCACGTTGCAGGGAGTCCACGTTGCAGGGAGTCCACGTTGCTGGGGAGTTCACGTTG